GATTTCATCAGGATCGTTAATATCCTGATGGTGCTTCTCCAACCTTCGTTTACGTTAATACTACCTTCGGCGAGGCTTGTCCACTTCGAACTGTGCGTGAGTTCGGTGCCACACTTTTATTCACCAAGCTTTCCGATTTGAAATACTCTGGAGTATAGTTGTATTAAACTTTCGATGTCTTTTAGGGCGCAATATACTTTCCCTCATATCTGCCGAGTTGCGGAGAATCATGGGACATTAGAGACTGGGCCGACTCCGTGGGCCGCAAGACAGCCCACATCTCTGAGCACTCCCATCTTTGCTTTCACGCTAATACATACTAAGGTATAACTGGGGCCCGGGGATCTATTACTGCAACTCCAAAAGTAAGCCTTAATTCGGACGTGTGTTCACTAAATTCATTCTTAATGCGAGCGAACCGTTTGACTCCATTTTACAGATCACACATCCTGATACCGGTTACGTAACGCATAAGGTGAGAGCATGAAGATAATTGTTCTTGGGCGACAACAGTGGAATCAAAGAAAAATAGGCAAGAACAGAATCACAACTGACCGAAATCATTGTATCTGTTTGCAACTCATCCTCTTCGCCCGAAGATTCCGGAGTGGCTTGGTCAAACAACCCGTCTGCATCTTCCTCAGAGGGGTCGATTCCGCCCAAGTCTGAGTCTGTAGCACCAGGCTTCTTGCTACGTAATTTGCCCATGGCGACCGTGGAATAGGGCAGTAAATGTGTCGATTTATTGAACGCTCGAGTAAGCGCCGCTTTAGCCTACAAAAAATATAGGACGAGCGTCGAAGAAAAACCAGCGTCACTGATATTGTGAAATGTAACACATTCAGACGGTAATCAGGTTACTGGCTTTTGAATACAATACGCTTCGTAACTGCTATTACGTGCCATTATGTTGATCTAATGGAGTTGGTAGGTGAAAACTCACTCGTAGCTGACCCTAAGACCAATGCGCAGAACAATTAATCTACTTAGAACAATCAAAACAATAGGATGTAACCATAAAAATAGCTGCGATCCGACCTAAGGGTGGCAAACTTTTAACCGTTGTCCCCGTGTAGACATTAAAAGTCACGCATTTCAATGTGATAAATAACAAGAGGAGCTGAACTGTCTACTGAGGGAGACCTAACGTTGTGTCATGAAAACTGGTAGTGAAGGCCCTAGGAGTCGGTTTGGTGATCCGGCGGGGGATAGGTTTTTTCTCAAATCGAGCGACATCAATGTTGACTGCAACTGCCCAAGATGGATGATGATGATGATGACGATGGCGTGATTTGAACTTTAGACATCACGGACCGATTTAAGGTTGCAACCGATTGATCATCCTCATTTACCCTTGTTTTGTTCATATTTCTGGTAATGATTCTTTTTGTAAATTTTATGGCATCTTTATGTCTCACACACACACATACACAGATTTTCATCATAAGAAGGGCTTATTTTCCCCGACACACACACAGCCTGATCCATCTGAACAGTGAAAAAAGTAAGCTGCAATGTTACATCAGGTACACGGCGTCGACGACCACCAGTCTGAACGTACCTTCTTGCTTTTTGAATGCATAGGAAGAACATGGAATAGGACAAGATAAAGTAATGCCAACTATGATAAACGATCATCACATCCACGTCAAATACACTGGGCAACATAGTAGATCGATGCTGCTGCTGCTGCTGTGGATTTCAACCATAGGCC